AAAACAGAGAAACAGGGCAGTCATCTTTAAACGGTTGGTACGGAATACTCGGGTGCAATTAGTGGTTGCATTTTATACCGTTGGAAAGTTGGGAATGTCTAGTTTCAAATGCCACTGATGGCACTTGATTTCGACGTCTGAACACAAAGTTATGGCCGAAACAAGAAGGCTGTCTGAGCATTACGGGAAAATTTTTCCAGGTTTGCTAGCTTTGTGAGATTAATCCATTTGACCAACCAAATCTCAATATTTTTCGATGAAACTTTATACACTATCTATACAACATATAAACATCTTATACAAGCCATTAAAACCCCAAAATTCCGCAAAATAAGGCACGATCATAACAGGGGCAGAATTGGAAATTTTGCATCCATGCACACCTTGAAGTTTATACTAGTTATGCACCATTAATCTACCAATTTGAACACTAAACCAACATTGAATCCATCATCAATAATCACATCAGCCATCAATCCAAGAGTGGGAGTTCATAGAACCCACATTCAAAATTTTCTAACAATAACAAGCCATCCATATGAATATCTAAACTCATAAGTGTAAATCAACTTCCATAGGCTAAGAATTTGAGGATTGATCGTCACTTACTTGTATTGGTGAACAAGACAGAATTTGGCCCCTCCTTGCTTCAAAATGAACCATGAAAAGCTCTCCCTTTTTAGCTAGATATAATCCCCAAGTATTCAACTATGTGTAGTTCAATTTTGGTTTGATTTGGTTGAGATTTGGTGCAAGAATTTGGAGTAGAAAGTGATGGAGCAAGGCTGGTTCTTCTTTCCCTTGCTGTTCGGTTGTGTTGAGGTGAAAAATGGAGAGTGTTTGCTGATGGTGAGGCTTCCATGTGAAGCTTAGCAATTGTGGGTTTCAAGTGTATAAAAGTCAACTCTCCAATAGTGCGCGTACGCGCGCGTTTTGTGCTCGATTCCTCTGAAGTTTATTTCACTAGTGCACTAAACCTTTAATGCACTCATATTCATATTAATATTATTCACTTTTAATTATCCCAAAATAAGGGTCTAAAATCCCTTAATTAAATCGTGCATGTAAAAATGCGTATCTCCAAATTAAGCGCAATAAAGCGAATCCCCCAAGAATTTCTTATAACAATAGTACTAATAACTATCACTTGAGTATTTAAACATAAAATACCTATCTTAAGTCCATCCTGCAAGTCTCTAATTTTCCAAGCTTATTGCATTCTCGAATCGATTATCGACTCCAATTGCGTATTCACTATTTTCAATTAACGAGCTTCCAAAATTAAATTTTTAAACGAGTCACTTTAAAAATATAACGAAACTATAATTCCATGTAATTAGGTCTAAAGAGGTTAAAAAATAATATTCAGATTAAATGGGCAGTTAAATATTTAAATAAACTTGAAATGGAATTTTTAAAAATAATAAATTTTTGCAAGACATCACATGCGCACCATACTATCGGCACAATATCTATATAGCAATGGTTCCTCCCAAAAGTAACTTTTCACATCATGCAAGAATTTTTTCTTTTGATGATAATTAAATCCCTTAGGAATTTCTCAACTTATCAAATAATTAGTAAAATCTGAATACCATGGAGAATTGATAATTATTAGGACAAATTCATCTGAAAAATTCTCTTCAATAGGAACTTGGTCGTTGGCTGAATATATTTCAAGTGTGATAGATGATTGGCCACGAGATTCTCCGTTCCCTTTTTGTCTTTTATCTCCACATCAAATTTCTGCAATAAAAGAATCCATCGAATTAGTCTAGATTTTCCGTCTTTCTTATGCAGCAAATATTTAAGAGCCGAATGGTCCGTATATATGATAACTTTAAATCCTATTAAATAAGATCTAAATTTATCTAAAACAAATATCACTGTCAATAGCTCCCTTTCTGTTGTTGCATAATTGAGTTGTGCTTCATTTAGCAACTTGCTAGCATAATAAATTGCGTGCAACCTTCCTTTTTTTTTTGCCCAAAAACTGCTCCAATCGCATAGTCACTTTCATCGCACATCAATTCAAATGGTAGTGGCCAATCGGGCGAAATTATAATTGGAGTAGAAATCAATTCCTTCTTCAACCTTTCAAAAGCAACCAAACAATTATCATTAAATTGAAAAGGGGTATTTTTACATAATAAATCACACAACGGCTTTGCTATTTTAGAAAAATTCTTAATAAAACGTCTATAAAAGCTGGCATGTTCTAGAAAACTCCTCATCCCCTTGACATTGTTTGGAGGTGGCAATTTCTCTATGACTTTAATTTTTGCCTTATCCATCTCAATTCCCTTAGAGGAAATCTTGTGTCCTAAAACAATTCCTTCTTTTACCATAAAATGACATTTTTTCAATTTAGTACAAGATTTGTCTCCTTACATCTTTGCAAAATCAAATCCAAATTATGAAAACAATGGTCAAAAAATTAACCATACACAGAAAAACTATCCATAAATATTTTCATAATTTTCTCAATATAATTAGAAAATATAGCCATCATGCAACGTTGAAAAGTCGCAAGAGCATTGCATAAATCAAATGGCACCCTTCTATAAGCAAAAGTGCCATAAGGACATGTGAATGTGGTCTTCTCTTGATTTTCTGGAGCTATAGCTATTTGGTTATACCCTGAAAAATCATCAAAAAATAGTAAAATTCATATCCGGCTATTCGCTCCAATAATTGATCAAGAAATGGTAAAGGAAAAAGATCTTTTCTTATTACCGCATTTAATTTGCGATAATCGATACACACTCTCCACCCAATTACAAGTCTAGATGAAATTATCTCATCATTTTTACTCACAATTGTAGTTATTTCACCTTTCTTTGGTACAATATGAATTGGACTGATCCAAATGCTATCAGAGATAGGAAAAATTATACCTGCGTCAAGCCACTTAAGAATTTTTATTTCTTACCACCTCTTTCATATTTGGATTGAGTTTTCTTTGTATTTCCACCACCGGTTTGCAATTGTCTTCCAATAAAATACGGTACATGCACATAGAAGGACTTATACCCTTAATATCTGAAATTGTCCATCCAATTGCCTTCTTATGCCTTCTTAGAACTCTTAACAACTTTGCACACTGCTCATCATCAAGGTCAGCACTAATGATTACTGGTAAAGTGTTGTCTTCTCCAAGAAATTCATATCTTAGATGAGTTGGAAGTAGTTTGAACTCTAATTTTGGAGGTTCAATTTTCGAAGGTGGTGGAAGCTCTTTTCCTTGGTCAAGACTTTCATACATATTACCCCTTTTATTGGGTGCTTGAAAATTCAAATAATTGACCAATTCTTCAATCTCTTCACAATCACCTTCTTGCATAGCTAAACGCATTAAACAATACTCAAGAGGATCGAAGTCAAAATTAACTTGGCTCAATTTTTGGATTAGTTTATCAATTGTGCCAATAGAATAAGTATGATCGGTAAAAGAAGAGTATTTTCTCATTTCATTCAAATTAAATTCTATCTCTTCTTCACCTATTTGAAATTTAAGTTTGCCATTTTTAACATCAATAATAGTACCTGTAGTAGCTAAAAATGGTTTACCTAGAATAATTGGCATAGATATATCTTCTTCCATATCTAAAATCGCAAAATTCACTAGAATGATAAATTTTTAAACTTTTATTAATACATTCTCCAACACTCCCAATGGATATCTAATAGACCTATACGCTAGTTGCAAAGTAATACTAGTGCATGTAAGCTCATGCAAACCTAATTATCTAGCCACCGTTAAAGGAATCAAGGATACACTTGCACCAAGATCACACAATACTTTAGAAAAATCAGTGCTACTTATGGTGCAAGGTATAGAAAAACTTCCTGAATTTTTCAATTTCGGTAGTAGTTTATTTTGTAAGATGGCACTGCACTTCTCTGTTAATGCTATTGTTTCGCAATCTTCTAACTTACTCTTTATAGTCATGATTTCCTTGAGAAATTTCACATATGAAGGAATCTGCAAAATAGCATCGGCAAAAGAAATGTTAATGTGCAATTGTTTGAAGATTTTAACAAAATTTTTATCAAATTTATTTTGCTTGAATCTTTGTGAAAATGGAACCACAGGAAGTATCGTAATGGTAGTGGAAGATGATGGTTTATTTTCTCTTGGATTCTCCCGACTATTTTCCTCCACAATCGCCTCTTGGTTCCTTCTCTTTTCGCATGTTTTTTACTCTCATCTTTTTCACCTTCACCCACTGGAAGATCATCTAATTGTTTACCACTACGAAGAGTAATCGCTTTGACATGCTTCTTAGGATTAACCTCTGTTTTGCTAGATAATTCTCCTTGATTTCGATTGTTCAAAGAACTAGCAATTTGATCAATTTGGATCTCTATATTCTTATACATTTTAGTAAGTTGGTCCAATCTTCCTTCTACTCGTTCAAATCTATCCAAAGTTACTTTAGCTAGTTTTTCCATAGCAATCTCCAACCAGGTTTAGTTTTAGCTTGTGGTTGCCTCGGTTGAAATCCCGACGGATTGACTGGCCTTGGTTGAGTGCCTTGATTTTTCTATCCAAAATTTAGATGATTTCTCTACCTTAGATTATAAGTTTTCGAGTAGGGTTATTTTAAGCATTACGATTGTAATTGTTGACAAATTGTACCTGCTCAGAATCAACACATTCATTAACATCATATTCACATCCACATATAGAGCAACAAGCTACATGTGTATTAGATGAATTTGGACCAACTCCACCTTGTCTACTTAGTAACTTCATCACATTATTCATTTGAGCACTCAACATGTTGAGAGTATCCATTTCTATCATACCTACGTGACGTCTCGTATTACCTATCTCATTGGCCTATTGATAGTTATTTGCGGCCATTTCTTCTATCAAATTCTGAGTTTCTTGGGGTGATTTACCCATTAAAGCTCCACCTACAGATGCATCAATCATAGTTTTAGTAAAAAAAGATAAACCATTATAGAAAGTTTGTACGATTAGCCAATTGGGCAGTCCATGATGTGGACATTTTCGTAGCAAATTTCTAAATCTTTCTCATGCCTGATATAATGATTCACCTTCTAATTGACTAAAACTAGTAATATCCATTCTTAACTTAGCAGTCTTACCCGGTGAAAAATACTTATTCAAGAATGCTCTTGATAAATCATCTCATGTGGTGAAAGTGTTAGGAGCATGAGAGTGTAGCTAAATTTTAGCCTTATCTCTCAAGGAAAATGGGAATAACCTTAGCCTTATAGCATCATTATTAACTCCATTTACTTTAATAGTATCACATATCTCCAAAAATGTAGCTAAATATGAATTAGGATCTTCTACTGCATTACCTCCAAATTAAGATTGTTGAACCATTTGGATAAGTGATGGTTTAATCTCAAAATTGTTAGCATTTACCGTAGGCCTTGCTATATTTGTTTGAGATCCTGAAAATCTCGTAGAGCTCGCCTATTTGCTTCGTTTTCTGCCATCTCTTCTTCAAACGGTAACTCTATTAAGATTTCCTCCATCAGTTGCCAAACCTCTTGCTCCTCTTACTGTGGTGTATGCCTCCTTTGTCTACGTAGTGTCCTCTCAATTTCTGGACTGAAAGATGCAACTTTCTGAGATGTCTGGTGCATACACTACAAACAGAAATAAGAGAGATTACGCAGCTTCAATTGTCAAAAATTGATTAAAATGCAAAAATGAACCATAAACAACTTAAATAATTAAAATAAAGCTGTCTATATTCATAGAGATTATTAGACCCTAATATTACCGCTCCCAAGCAACGACACCAAAAATTTGGTGGATTTTTTTTGTAAGTGCAAGTTTAATTCCGATTTTATACCCATTTGTCTGCAATTATATAAGTTAATCAAGTAGTATAGGGCATGTATCGGGTCGATCCCACGAGAATCAAGTTAAATAAATACTAGGTCATTATTTACTCTATTATTTAGACTAAAAATAAATTCGAGTAGAAATATTATAAATGCTACTTCCTACAATCTGATTAGATCAATGCAAGTTAAAATGGAGAAAATTCACTAAAGACTTGAATATAGGGATATAGATTTCACTTATGGTACAAAACATCCAAATGAATGAATTTAACACTTGTTACTACTCTTGTTTAACTAGGGATTCATTTCCATTTATGCCAAATTTCATTCTCATGATAATATGGTCTAGAGCAGTCTAATTTTCCCTAATTTCTTCGTGAAAAACTAAAACTGCTCTTATTTCATTCATGAAATGCAAATTAAATCCATTTGAGTGTATTTCTATTCTCATAAACTTATAATTCAAGCTCTACTCATGTTATTCCATTATTATTACCAATTCTCAGGGAGTAATAACAATTATAAACCTGTTATCGGTGATCAAACAACAACAAGTAATCAAACATGGACAAAAAGACAAGTTAATACAAGATGCAACAAGTGTAAATCACATTCAATTCATATCACTTTGCCATAAGTTTCATCTACTCCTTAAATATAGAAATTTAATTACTCATGAATGATATCACAATCAAACTCATAGCTTCATTAATGGAAAACATCATGAGTTACAAGTATAAGAAGCATAAAGAAAAACGTAACCAAGTTAATGGTGAAGCCCACAAAATTCTGCTATATCTTGCATTAGATGATTACAAAATGAAATCTCCAAGTGTTTCTGCAAAATTTGCTAGCTAGAGAGAATATGTTCTACCAGAAAATTGCTCTCCTCCCTCCCCCTAGACCTCTCCATGTTCCTCTGCATAAAAACTGCTCAAAAGCTCTTCTCCACTGGTCTAATTTTCACCCTTTGATTATCCAAATCACCTTTTTGTTAAAAAAGTTCAAGACATACCAAAAAGTTCAAGACATAGTTGAAATACTGAAAAATGTCAAAACTGTCTTGAACCGAAAAGTTCAAGACATAGTCGAAATACCGAAAAGTGTCAAAACTGTCTTGAACTGCATTGAACTTTTTTAACAAAAAGGAGATTTGGAGAATCAAATGGTGGAAATTAGATTGGTGGAGAGGAGCTTTTGAGCAATTTTTATGCAGAGGAATATAGAGAAGTCTAAGGGGAGGGATGAGAGTAATTTTCTGGTAGAACACATTCTTTCTAGCTAACAAATTTTGCAGAAACACTTGGAGACTTCATCTTGTAATCATTTGGTGCAAGACACAGCAGAATTTTGGGGATTGCACCATTAATTTGGCTACACTTTTCTTTATCCTTTTGTACTTGTAACTCATGATGTTTTCGTTAATAAAGTTATGAGTTTGATTGTGATATCATTCATGAGTAGTTAAATTTCTATATCTAGGGAGATATGAAACTTATGACCAAATGATATGAATTGAATGTGATTTACACTTATTACATCTTGTATTAACTTGTCTTTTTGTGTATGTTTGATTACTTGTTGTTGTTTGATCACCAATAGCAGGGTTATAGTTGTTATTACTCCATGAGAATTGGTAATAATAATGAAATAACATGAGTAGAGTTTGAGTTGTAAGTTTATAAAAATAGAAATACACTCAAGTGGATTAAATTTACATTTCATGAATGAAATAAAAGCAGTTTTAGTTTTTCACCAAAAGATTAGGGAAAATTAGGCTGTTCTAAATCATATTACCATGAGAATGAAATTTAGCATTAATGGAAATGAATCCCTAGTTAAACAAGAGTAGTAATAAGTATTAAATTCATTCATTTGGATGTTTGTGCCATAAGTGGAATTTACATCTCTAAATTCAAGTCTTTAGTGAATTTTCTACATTTGTAACTTGCATTGATCTAATCAGATTGTAGGAAGTAGCATTTATAATATTTCTACTCGAATTTATTTTTAGTCTAAATAATAGAGTAAATAAGGACCTATTATTTGTTTAACTTACTTCTCGTGGGATCGACCCGATACATGCCCTATACTACTTGATTGACCCGTATAATTACAGATAAATGGGTATAAAATCGGAATTAAACTTGCACTTACATCAAAAACTCGTCAAGTTTTTTATGCCGTTGCTTGGGAGCGGCAATACTAGGGCCTAATAATCTCTATTAATTTAAACAACTTTATTTTTATTATTTAAGATGTTTATAGTTAATTTTTGCATTTTAATCAATTTTTGACAATTGAAACTGCATAATCTTTCTTATTTCTATTTGTAGTGCATGTACCGGCATCTCAAAAAGTTGCACCTTTCGATCCAGAAATTGAGAGAACACTACGTAAATAAAGGAGGCATACACTATAGCAAGAGGTTTGGCAACTGATAGAGGAAATCTTAATAAAATTACCGTTTGAAAAAGAGATGGCAGAAAACGAAGGAAATAGGCGAGTTTTACGATATTTTATTTTACCGGGGACACAAGAATCTCAAACAAGCATAGCAAGACCTATGGTAAATGCTAACAATTTTGAAATTAAACCATCACTTATCCAAATGGTTCAACAATCTCAATTTGGAGGTAATATAGTAGAAGATCCTAATTCACAATTAGCTACATTTTTTGAGATATGTGATACCATTAAAATGAATGGAGTTAGTGATGATTCTATAATGCTAAGGTTGTTTCCATTTTCATTGAGAGATAAAGCTAAAATTTGGTTACAATCTCATGCTCCTAACATTTTCACCACATGAGATGATTTATCAAGAGTATTCTTGAATAAGTATTTTTCACCGGGTAAGATTACTAAACTAAGAATGGATATTACTAGTTTTAACCAATTAGAAGGTGAATCATTATACGATGCATGAGAAAGATTTAGAAATTTGCTACGGAAATGTCCACATCATGGACTGTCCGATTGACTAATCGTACAAATCTTTTATAATGGTTTATTTTTTTCTACTAAAACTATGATAGATGCAGTTGCAGGTTAATGGATAAATCACCTCAAGAAACTCAGAATTCGATAGAATAAATGGCCGCAAATAACTACCAAAGGGCCAATGAGAGAGGTAATATGAGACGTCACGCAGGTATGATAGAAATGGATACTCTCAACATGTTGAGTGCTCAAATGAATAATGTGCTGAAATTACTAAGTAGACAAGATGGAGTTGGTCCAAGTTCATCTAGTGCACATTTAGTTTGTTGCTCTATATGTGGAGGTAAACATGATGCTAATGAATGTGTTGATTCTGAACAGGTACAATTTGTCAACAATTATAATCGTAATACTCAAAACAATCCCTACTCGAACACTTATAATTCGGGGTGGAGAAATCATCCAAATTTTGGATGGAAAGATCAAGACAATTGACCAAGACCAACCAATCTGCCAGAATTTCAACCGAGGCAACCACAAGTTGAAACTAAACCTGGTTGGGAGATTGCTATGGAAATATTAGCTAAAGTAATTTCGGATAGATTTGAACGAGTAGAAGGAAGATTGGACTAACTTACTATAATGTATAGGAATGTAGATGTCCAAATTGCTAGTTCTTTGAACAATCGAAATCAAGGAGAATTATCTAGTAAAACGGAAATTAATCCTAAGGAGCATGTCAAAACCATTACTCTTCGTAGTGGTAAACAATTAGAGGATTCTCCAGTGGGTGAAGGTGAAAAAGATGAGAGTGAAAAACATGCAGAAAAATGAATGAACCACGAGGCGATTGTGGAGGAAAATACTCGGGAGAGTCCAAAAGAAAATCAACCATCATCTTCTGCTACCATTCCGATACCTCCTGTGGTTCCATTTCCACAAAGATTCAAGCAGAATAAGTTTGATAAAAATTTTGTTAAAATCTTCAAACAATTGCACATTAACATTTCTTTTGCCGATGCTATTTTGCAGATTCCTTCATATGTGAAATTTCTCAAGGAAATCATGACTATAAAGAGTAAGTTACAAGATTGCGAAACAATAGCATTAACAGAGAAGTGCAGTGCCATCTTACAAAATAAACTACCATCGAAATTGAAAAATTCGGGAAGTTTTTCTATACCTTGCACCATAGGTAGCATTGATTTTTCTAAAGTATTGTGTGATCTTGGTGCAAGTGTATCCTTGATTCCTTTAACGGTGGCTAGATAATTAGGTTTGCATGAACTTAAATGCACTAGTATTACTTTGCAACTAGCGGATAGGTCT